TTATTTCCCCGACATTTTTACCACATTAACAGTCGCACAAAGTCAAAAGAACAAACCTGTGCGGGAAGAACCCGAGCTGGATTCTCTAACAGTTCAAAGTCAGGTTCCTCTTCTTCCATTTTCTCACTGCTCTCCTTTTCACTCTTTTCAATCGTGGATTCCTCGTCTTTCTTGTCTTTGTCACCTTCTTTCTCCTACAAAAACAAAATTAACTAATCCTTCACTAAAGATTTAAACATACACCTCTAGAATCGTGGAAGAAAGCAGCAATACAAAATACACAGCAAACGAATTATCATTTATACGTGAATGACACCGTAACACAAAGTTAACACTTGACTGGTATAACAGAACTCCCAATTCACCACCTTACACCCAGAAGCTTCATAACTTAGAAGCAGAGGCTTTGTAAGGGAAGTGCAAAGTTAATGGGTTCGAGTCCCGTTAACCTAAAAGTCTGTTACTAGGCTTTTCTTGCAACTGCTTCATAACTTCAAATATCTCAGTCTTTCTTTTTCAATTCCCTCTTCCAATTCCGTCTTCCATAATTTCTATGTATGATTCGTTTCATATTTTCACAACTACAGCATAGTGTGTCAGACTACAACCAGAGGTTCACTGACCTTCTTAGATGTTGCTGCTTTATCTTTGTCGCCTTCTTGATCCTGTTCAAAAATAACCATACAAAAAAATAAAATAAAATAAAATAAAATAAAATAAAATAAAATAAAATAAAATAAAATAAAATAAAATAAAATAAAATAAAATAAAATAAAATAAAATAAAATAAAATAAAATAAAATAAATAAATAAAAAATTCACTCAATCAAGACACTACACCATTTAATCCTCTCTCAGTCTGAAATGCGATTTTAATTAAATAAAACTGCAATAAACCCCGATCAGTCGAGCAAGCAATCGATAACCCTTACAAGTTCACTTAAGTCTTGTGATTCTCGCTATCCAATCAAAAAGAACGTGAACTTCTTGGGAGCACACTGACAGTTCTCACGAGAGGATGGCGCCATTAACATATGTCAAGTCCTTTTAAAAGCAACTCCGCTGAGGACCACAGACTCAGTCACTTTGAAAAACGGACTTAATCCTCCGTCAAACGCGTTTTCGATGGTGGGAAATTATAATAATATATATTCCACATTTATTAGTAATGAAGAGGAGGAATCTCACCACTTCCATCTTCTCTTCGGATGCCTCTGATTTCTTGGCCCTAGCTTTGGCTTTAGCTGTTATTGACAAAACTGCCGTGGTCACCTACAACGAGACAAGAATCATTAACCACTGTACCTTTTTACGCAAAATTTCCTCGCGTCCGCAAGGTAAAAAAAAAAATAATAATAATAATATACCAGGATACAGCTACCATGCAAGTGCTCAAACTGCTAAGAAGACTGGTGAGTTACAATAACTATTTGCTTCTTGCTGGTTTTAATCTAAGTTTATAAACTTAACAGAATTATTCGATTGTTAACAACCAAAGGAACAAAAACGATCTGTCGAGTTGTCCCCAAGAGTGCATGGTGCACTCCTCCTTATTTGGTACTCTAACGAAACATTCAACGAGACCTGACTTTTCTAAGCAAACTCAGTGTCTTTCCTAATTGCAAATACGCGTTCTACAGCACCTGGAAAAGAAGTCAGAATGATCGGAGGCTAAGCGACACAAATCGCAACTAACACCCTCTCAAGCCAATATATGAGAGTAGGTGTTCTTGGGGTGAAACATAATGAAAATTGGAAAATTATGAAAAAAATTAGTGCAGTGGTGTTGCATCTAAACAGATGTCTGAACCTTCAAAACATCGTGCATTTTCATTTTTCAGGAAAGATAATCGAAAGATTTCTAACCAATGCGCATTTCGTCAACCTTCAGAGAACTGTACCTTTTCTTTCTCCTCTTTCTTGGGAGGTTTAAGTGGCTCGGGATAAGCGTACATTGAAGGCTTGGCATTTGATCGGAACTGCATTTTGGGCATCTGAAATACGAGCAAGAAAATGTAGTAACAGTTAAATACCACAAATTGTTTCTCATTTGTACAGCGACAGTACTGCTCATTTTAAACTATACAATCGGAGAACATGTACAGTTCTCGGAACATCCTAATAACATCAAAATAAAGGTTTTTTTCTTTTAACGCACTTGTCAATCACCGCACAATTATGACACACTTCATAGTAGAGAAAAAGACCACTTACTCGAACCTTCCTGGCAATTTTTCGAACCTTCCCGATGACTCCAAACAGAAGTTCTTTCCCTTTGATTTGTTTCAATAAAAATCTACCCCCGATATTTCGAACTTCTGATTTCTCGAACCAAGTTTTGTTTCCCTTGGATAGTTCGAGAAATCGGGATACCTCAATTTCTCACAGTAGGCAATACTGTTTGAAAAATACTGCTCACCTTCAGGTCGGAATTAAGTCCAATGATACATGTGGGTGTGAATGCCAGCGATAGGAAGTGAGACAGCGGAAACCAAAACCACACGTGCGTGAATACAAACAAGCCTACTACTGTGGCCATATGCGTGTGTCCCGCTCGTGACTGCAGCGAGATGGTCACGTTTCGTCCACCTTAGGAATCAAAAAGAGATTCAGTTGAAATGCAACCACGGTTACAAAGCAAGTAGGACGAAAGGGGGACAAATGACCAGTGGAATTTGCGATTTGGATTGTTCCCAGGCCACTTAAACTAGTGTTCTCAAACAGAAGCGCTTTTAAGGATAATGACCTTCATTCGAATGCAGTTGGAAGCAAAAACAACGTAGCAGGGAACGAAAAATTTTTTGTTCCTGAAAACTCTGAGCTGACTGAGGACAGAGGATTTTTTCTCTGGGATCTGTAGCTTCCCGTCCTCAGTAGAATTCAACACCTTCCAAATATCAAGAAGGGATGGTATTACCCCTTTAAAACAGTATTCGATTACATGTATCTACAGCGTTGAATGCCACATTGTTTATCACTGGACGCATCGCCTTAGTTTGACAAGTTTCTATGCGTTCATACCCACCAGCATCAAGAATTCCTTGCGCCAAGGTGGCGCCGAACTTGGCTATGATGTCTTCGTGTTTGTCGCTAATCACCTTCGCGTAAATCTCGCGGAACTTCGCTACCTTTGGACAGGAATGTTCCGTTTGTTGAATTAGAACCAAAGAGCTGGCGATTAAGGCACCCTGATAAAAGAGAAACACAAAAAGATTAAGAAGAAGTGCTCAAAAAGGAAATGCGAAGTTCATGTCTTCAAGTTCATAGACCCTTTGCATAAATGGCGCCTGAATTTGAGTATCAATACTTTATACATCCTAAGCCTTGTCCTCATGTTTCAAGACAAAGGATTTTTCACATGAATGTGAGGCTAAGGATGTATAAGTATTGTTATTCAAATTTAGGATACCCGTTACAATCAATTCCCGTCCTCACCAACAACATTCTGCTGACTTCCAAATAGCAAACGAAATTGTCGAGAACTGTTTCACAAAATCACACCATTGTCGGATTTGTCATCATTTAGTCGTATCTTTATCTTTACAGCAACCTCCCAAATTACGTTAACAAAACACGACAGTACCTCATAACGTTTCTATTTATCAGACGTTCTTTCAGAAAAAAAAACAAAACAAAAGAACGCCTGATCGCAGGAAATTTCTTACCTGGCGAACGTAGTTTACAGGATCATTAGTCATAGGTTCTAGAAGTGCGATTGCATCCTGCAAATGAACGAAGAACACAGGGTTTTGATTATTTTGGAGACTCGAACTGTAACGACTACAACTGGGGTGGTTCTCCCATGGCTCTCAGAAGCAGTCGTAAATTGCATTTTGTAACCTTTTTCGTGCTTCTTTACCTACGAGTTCTGCCGGGAACGTGTGTTACATTATTTGGGGACGAGGTGAAGGGTTTGTCGAGGGCTTAAAAAATGTGCCGTCCGGTCGTCCAGGACAAGAAGATTTTATTTCTGGGCAAGCAACTTTTCATTCAAACCTGCCCGATGGGCAAGGGCCAGGCAACTAAATTTAAAAAGAGTAAACCAAGACTCATTCAGCGCTAGCAAAATTTGAGAGCTTTGAATTTTTTTTTCCAAGCCCCGTTGTTACGATGTAATTATCTACCAAACCAATCCATTGTACTCAGCTAAACATCATATTAACTTTTGCCGCCACCACCTTACACTGTACTTCAACATTTCTAGCTGGTCGAAAGATACATGTAGTCTGTTATCTTATAATAATAATAATATTTATTACAGAAAGCTCCCTCACCTACCGGTGATATACAGAGAGGTCATGTTCTCACCTTAAGCCCTGTACCCGAACAGGCAATACCCAGGGCCATGGCAGCACCATATCGCACGTGAGGGTTATAACTCTCTGACAACAGTGACACAACACTGGGGCACTGTTCTGGAGTTCTACAACAAAAGAGAAAAATGTTTAAAACCCGCGCATTTCATATTCTTCTTACCAAAGAGTTTACATAGGGAACGAACTCTATCGATCAAGAAGCAAAGTTGAACACACAATTGAACACACACCTAAAAAGGAGAAAACCTAATGACATCACAGCTGCTCGTCTTACGTCATCGCTGACGTCACTCACCTATGGAACCAAATTCATAAAAAAGTTAGGAAACTTTGGTGAGTAAGAGCGAGAGTTCGAATGTTGTACTGTCAAAGACACAGCAAAAAATTTTTTTTTCCCAAAGATTATCTCTCTCTCAAGTTAAACCTCTTGCCACAAAGTATGAACAGACAGAAGCCAATTTTGCGTAACGGTATAGTGTGACAGTATTGTGTGACACTGTTTCGTGACATAACTAAAGCTACATACAGCAACATGTAGGAGTCTCTTGATGGCCTTGTTGTTGCCAGTGCCACAGTATGCCATGGCGACTGTGTACATGCCACTCTGTCGGAGGTTATGGTCTTTATCCTGCATTAAGCTCTCGATGAGTGCATCAGCTTCCTCCATTCGGGCGTACATCACCTACAGGACACGTAAACAATAATCAATGCTATTTTATCCATTGACGATACATTAGCCGGGAAGAAAGTCATACGGGTATGGGCCACAGGGTGTGTCGGATTTTTTCAGCTCCTTGCCCCTAATAGGGTCTTTGTGTTTTCTTATATGGACCGACAGATCTCAGTAAACGTTTTGACATTTTTTGTCACATTATTTTCAGCTTTCGCCAGCTTATGATCAAAGGCTATGAAATGAACAGGGGAAATTTTGTATCACGAGAAGAGGTCAAGACTGCTACGTTCAGGCGGAGCTACCTCTTTGAGGAACAGGAAACATTTCATAGTCTGGATACAACCACAAACGACGTCTCTACTTACGAGATAGAAAACATTTTTTGTATTTGTGAGTGAAAGAAACGCGAGTGGAAGCCTGGGAGAACGAAAAATGCTGCGAGAGCACGTGTTCATGTAACTTGAACAAACATGGACGAAGTCTTTTCCAATTGTTTTAGAAACACCAAAAAAAATAAAGGTTTACTTAGAATATAAATTCTCTTTACTCCGTGTCTCGCTACACTTCTGTATTATCTAGTTTTAGTATAAATCTATCAGCGTTCTATCACGAATGCCTTTCTCTGATTGGCTACGCTACTCACTATCTTTTCTGTTGTGGATAGTGAGTAGCGTAGCAGTGTGCGCTTGTTAACAAATTGGCGGTTGATTCTTTGCGTTTTCGAAGAGTCTGTGAAGAGGATTATGATAACCTTTTGAACGACTAATAGATTTATACTAAAACAATTAGATTATTCGTTCACGCTTTCTACGCGCGATAGTTTACTCGGGCTGTGCCCTCGTCGACTATCACGCGATAGAAATCTCGATCTCATAATCTGACTGTTTAATACTGTAGAAGTACGGCTTGTTCAATGCGCTTTTTTACAAGGCGTTTTCGAGTCATCACAATAATGCACAAATGGTGTTCATTTACCTTCACAACAAAACTAGATAAACCCAGGGGCCAAGTCAGATTATATGGTATACCAAGCTACAAAAAGCAACTTACCAGCGCAATTCCTAATGAGAGTCCACGAAGGATTTTCTCGTGTTGTGTTTCTTGAGCATACTGTGAAAAGGAACATACCAACATCAATTCCGATATCGACATAGACTGTCCCACTCAGCATAGTCCGAGCTAGTTTAACAACCATTACTAAGAGGGGATGAAGAGTAATTCCCCATTCAAGTTTTTTTCTCAAGCGAACCCCTCTCAACCTATTTTTGGACATGGTATCCGGTCCTTCTGTGGGATAATGGTACCACGCGCGCCGTGTGGACGTTTTCGTCGAGCATGGAAATGCGTGTAAAGGCGCTTAGGCTGACCACGTGAGAAAAATCCACGTCACAGGATTAGCTAGTTCTAGACCCTCCTGGGACTAAGCCAGAAATGATGCAGAAATAACTAACAATAATAACTAATTACTAATTGGAAAAAGACCTATATGGGGGAGTAACTCTCTCACCCTCCATCTTTTCTTGCTATTCCTATTTGAACTGCTTTTAAAACAAACCAGCTTTTCAATTACATTGGATCATCGAATAATATATTCAACAATGAGAGCAAAATGGTGCTAAGACAGAAATCAGCTTACCCCAACCATTTCTTCAATAGCTGTGGCAGACTTTGATCCCAGCATGACGAGTCCCATAGCAAGACCGCAAGCTTCACCTGTAACGAGAAACACCATGGAAAAAACCACTCAATGATGCTGATTACAATACATGTAAAAAGAAGGGATTTTCTAATTTTGATGACCAACAAACCTGTAACAGCATCATCTTCCCAAAGTTGTGTCTTCAACTGCTCATAGACATCTAAACAATACAAAGCCAAATTTTAAAATTCAACTTCAGATAATCAGACACATGAACAGGATGCGATTTAGACTGGATTTAACACAGGATAACACCTTGGCTCATGATCAAATTGATGCCATGTGTTAAGAAAAAACATAACACACACTTTAAAAGCTTCTTACAACAACACAAGGTACATTGTACTACAATGTTAGCTGTAAAAACTTTAAGTTTCAGAACATTAGATGGAATAAGTACTGTGGGCAATCACTCAGTTTCAAAATTGAGCCTCCAGTTTCTTTCCATACAGATTCCATTTGTAAAAATCACAATTAAACATTGATTACAGCTTGTTGTTATCACTATTTACAAGACACATCATACCATGTCTGCCTGAGCCCATTGCCGCCAGCCCAAGACCAAGACATCCTCCATGACGCACCATCTAAAATGAAGCCATACAAACATTTTCTTTAACTATAACTTGTACATGAAATCGTTTCCAAAGAACCGAAAACTGCTATCAAGATGTNGAAGTACGGCTTGTTCAATGCGCTTTTTTACAAGGCGTTTTCGAGTCATCACAATAATGCACAAATGGTGTTCATTTACCTTCACAACAAAACTAGATAAACCCAGGGGCCAAGTCAGATTATATGGTATACCAAGCTACAAAAAGCAACTTACCAGCGCAATTCCTAATGAGAGTCCACGAAGGATTTTCTCGTGTTGTGTTTCTTGAGCATACTGTGAAAAGGAACATACCAACATCAACTCCGATATCAACATAGCATGTCCTACTCCGCATAGTCCGAGCTATGCTGAGCCAACCATTACTAAGAGAGGATGAGGAGTAAACGCTCGGTAATTCCCCATTCAGGCCTTTTACTCAAGCGAATCCCTCTTGAGCTATTTTTAGACATGGTATCCGGTCTTTCTGTGGGATAATAGGAACCACGCGCGTTTGTGTGAAGTTTTCGTGGAGCATGAAATTGCGTGTAAAGGCGCTTAGGCTGACCACGTGAGAAAAATCCACGTCATAGGATTGGCTGTTTCCAGACCGTGCTAGCATTATTTTCTGAAGCCAAAAATCTTGAGCAATAATTTGAACGGGATTACCTTGGGAAAAGCCCTATGAGGGCGAGTAACTCTCTCGCCCTTTATCTTTTCTTGCTATTCCTACCTAACTGCTTTTAATACAAACAAGCTATTCAATTACATTGGATTGTCGAGCACTTACATGTACAGTGTAATATATTCATCAAAGAAAGCAAAATGGTGTTAAGACAGAAATCAGCTTACCCCAACCATCTCTTCAATAGCTGTGGCAGACTTTGATCCCAGCATGACGAGTCCCATAGCGAGACCGCAAGCTTCACCTGTAACGAGAAACACCATGGAAAAAACCACTCAATGATGCTGATTACAATACATGTAAAAAGAAGGGATTTTCTAATTTTGATGACCAACAAACCTGTAACAGCATCATCTTCCCAAAGTTGTGTCTTCAACTGCTCATAGACATCTAAACAATACAAAGCCAAATTTTAAAATTCAACTTCAGATAATCAGACACATGAACAGGATGCGATTTAGACTGGATTTAACACAGGATAACACCTTGGCTCATGATCAAATTGATGCCATGTGTTAAGAAAAAACATAACACACACTTTAAAAGCTTCTTACAACAACACAAGGTACATTGTACTACAATGTTAGCTGTAAAAACTTTAAGTTTCAGAACATTAGATGGAATAAGTACTGTGGGCAATCACTCAGTTTCAAAATTGAGCCTCCAGTTTCTTTCCATACAGATTCCATTTGTAAAAATCACAATTAAACATTGATTACAGCTTGTTGTTATCACTATTTACAAGACACATCATACCATGTCTGCCTGAGCCCATTGCCGCCAGCCCAAGACCAAGACATCCTCCATGACGCACCATCTAAAATGAAGCCATACAAACATTTTCTTTAACTATAACTTGTACATGAAATCGTTTCCAAAGAACCGAAAACTGCTATCAAGATGTTATTACAAGTGAGGAAGGATTTCTTGGGTATGACATATTTTTAACCCCAAAGGCATTACACACAAAGTCAAATTGTTGATGAAATTGAAAAAAAAAAAAAAAATGCTCTGGAAATCTTCAATGAACTACTGTAGCATTCTACCTAATGGGAGGTAGTCACTTAATGCAGTGGAAATTGGAGTCCACCTCCATATTAATGAGTTTTCAACCTTGTACACTGTAAAATCACTTTTTCACACAGTCACGAATCAAATGAATCATCACGAAGCAAATAAAATTTTTTATATACAGATATATTATAATAAGTACTTCAATAACGAAAATGTTTTGCATGACAAGTCGATTTGCAGACATTCCTGAGTTCCAAAACGCAATTTTGCAGAACTTTGGCATTTTTTGAAAGCTCTGTAGCCCACCATTACTGCTTTTACATGGAGGTTGGTACATGTAAAGAATTTGATGCTACAGATAATATAGGAGATGCAGAGTTAGCCTCTTACATCTGTAGTTGCACTTTTTAGCTGTTGAATGAGATAATCTATGATCTTGCCACCATGGTTAGCATGAATTAAACCTGTCAGGAAAAAAAATACAGAAAATTAGTGACAAACTTTGAAGAAAGAGCAACATAAAAAATAATAATGATACATGTACTTTACAGCAACTTAAACAAATTGATTTGAACCTACATACTCTCCTACTTATTAAGTTACCTAGAGCAAAGAGTCCTCCCCCTTCTTGATAAGCACTGCCTCCACTGCCGTCTTTTGGTAGATATGTAGACATTAGCTTCAACGCATCCTGTTCATGACCCTTGTGACAACAACAACCAGCACAATGTCATCATGAAACAAGAATGTACATGTAATATTCCAAGAAACAAAAATGACAAACATTTAGGCAAAAAAGATTCAATAGTAACAGAAACCCCTAGTCAAATAAAGTTATCTTGCTCAAGGAATCACTACAATTCCTTTTTTACAATTCTGACAGTCTCAGAGATAAAATGTGCATTTTAAATTAAAATGAGGTACAAGTTTCAAGTGCATTTTTTAAAAAAAATGTATTTGAAAAGGACCTGGGGTAAAAGACAAGTGTCAGTTGTTTAATATATTTTCTTGTCTCGTAATTAATACATGTAGTGCTGATGGTTGATTTTATTCTGATTGCATTTAAATTATCAGGATCACTTATAATAAATAAATATGCGATAAACATGTATTAAACCAACCTTGTGAATAACTCCTAAGCTTGCTGTAGCTGTGAATTTTGCCCAGTTAGTGGCTCTTCCCAGCCATTCCAGGTTATTTCTGTTCATTCAAAAAACATTATATTTATTAATTTGAACTTGAATAAAATTTTTTGGTTCCTACAGTGGCAATTTTGTATAAAATCAAAGGGCTCACCGAAGGAAAGTGTCGCTAGTTGTACCGCAGTGCATGTAGGAATTGGCTATGACTGTCGCTGTGTGACAAACTGAATTTCTGGACACATCCTGTCAATAGAAAAAAACAAAACAAAAACAAAACAAAACAAAAAACAAACAAATTAAAATAAAACAATTTAATCAGTCACAAAGTAGCTAGAAAAACAAGCAGCAAAACTAACTTTGAAGTAAGTGACAAGGATATACAGTGTATATACTGTAATAATAATAGTAACAATGTCTACAGAGGGTGACACCAAAAAGCTGACACCAAGTTAAAATTTTAGCCTGACCCTCATTAATTACTATTCACAAATTGAGTAAAAATTGATGAAAAACAAAAGACCTGAAGCGTAATAATTTAAAATAACACTAAGAAATGTTCAACTTAATTTGTTGAAACATATCTAAGCTAATAGCTCCTGACATCTACAGGCAATGAGTTCCAACACGTCCACGTACAGTTGTACTCCTCTGTACTGGAATGATCTTTGTCCTAGAAACAAAACTCACTGTTCCCTTTGGGCTCAGTCATGAAGTGCTGATTGTTCTCTGTTGAACTCATTAACATACCTTAGTATTTTTTAAAATCAGAAGATCTGCATGGTTGTTTCTAATGAGGAACTCCAGGTGAAGAGCAATGGAAGTCTCACCACCCAAGATGGCTACCAGCTTGTTGACTTTGTCCCCAAGCTTCTTGTCACTTTCACTCTGGAATAAAAAGGATTGACGACTAATTAATTAATTAGTAATTTGCTTTTGGTTCATAGTCACTTGAGTGCAAGCTTCATCTCTCTTCAAATTTTCTTTTTGTTCATTCTGAGTTATAATGACAAATTGTTTAAGTTATATCACATTTGTCATCTTAAGGGCTTGTAAAATCATTTATAATAACTGTTATTACCAGGACAGGGTCTGTTTTGGCCTTCTTAGCAGGGACTTCTTTCTCTCCTTCATCTGTGTCCATGGCTGTATCACTGTACAACAAAAGAAAAATCATTGTACATCTTAAAAGTACTAGTGCGATATGCCAAGGGGCAGGGCAAACCATCACCAAGGAATGATCTTTAAAATTAAACTCCTGGCCACTCAACTAGAAGCTACACTCATGTGCATTAATAATTCATGCAATGTGTTTAGTTATAAGGAAATTCCATGTTAAACATCTACTGTGCATTTTAAACCCTCATAGCATCATTCTCATTGAAATAACTTTCACTGTCTAAGAAGAATACTAGAACTAAAATGATTGTATCTCAAAAGAGTGCCAGCAACTCCCAATCAGAATGAGAACATTCTACATGTTCTGTATGTTGTTTTCTCTTTCATTAACACTTATTTAAATATGCTACATGTACAGTACTTTGGTTGATGTATTAATAAGTGTAGTTTTAATAATTTAATCAGAGTCTCACCCTGATTTTTCCACACTGCCATTCTTATCTGTTTTCACATCTGTGGATACATCAGAGCTTGCAGCTCCATTGCTTGATACAAAGGGTACTGTTGCTTGTAATGCAGAAGTCACAGATGACAGAAATTGCTGTGTGGCTCCTTCATACAGATCAAAAGCAATCTGGTATGCCATCAAGGTCTGATCCTTCTGTTACATTGAAGAGAAAGACAAAATAATCTGTTAATTTTCCTTTACAAAGTTTTAAGAGTTGCATGATGGTGTGGTTAAGTGGCTGGGCACTGGACAGGAAATGTGGACATCCCAAGTTAAACCTGTCCATTCTGAATAGCACTAGCAGTGTTACAAGGGTCATATTATACAATATACTGCAGTAATAATGCAGGACTATTGCTGCACTTTCATGTTACGATACATTACACGACTGTGTAGTAAATTCTCATTCCTGTCAAACATGACTGCATGTACAACTTTTAAGATTTTGTTTTGGGATTGAGTTTTGCAAATCTTTCCTGGTATACAGTCATGGCAGGGTCATGGTGAGTTTTACTAGCAGAGGAATCATTCTGTTTTATGCCTCCAATCTCCAATTTGTCAAAATAATGGCAGTCTTCACCTTAGTTAAACTCCCTGGACACAACAAAGTACTATGTAATGTACAGTATGTTATTGTAATTCCCACACAGAAACACAATTGAAAGAGTTTTGTACAACAATACAATTTAATGGTCCATTCCACTTACCTCATTGTCCTTTATAAGTTTTTCTAGAATATCGGCCACACCTTGAGC